TAAAATACAGAAATATCAAATATTTCTTGGTTGTGTGATCCGTTTTACCCTTTTTTTTAAATTATAAAGCAGTCGAATAATATCTGGCATTCATTCTGAATCTTCTCTTAGGTTTAAAGAAGTGAATATTAAAAGAAGAATGGTAATATTTAACAGTTTTACTTTTTAACATGTGAACAATGACAACAGTTTACATAAAGCGTATCATACAGGCAGTCCAGCTGTTGTTCTGGCAAGGGAAGATAAACTTTATAGGATATGTTAAGTTACTACTATATTTAAGTCTTTATGTTTTTTTGTTTTTTTTCTTCTTCTCTCTCGCTTTCTAAGTAGAACTGACTTCATATCCTTAAACACTGAATATAATGACTGTGATCATCATTGGTTTTCTTGATACCCAAAATTGTTCATGTTAAATTCAACCCTTGGTCTCTTATCCTACTTGAAAACATTATTGTTTTGCTTTTTTTTTTGGGGGGGGGGCGCTCATCCATAAATCAATTTGGTATATATATAATGCTGGTGACCAAATTCATAAACTTTGTTCTATGTAAATAATTATTAAGGAAATTTAATTATATCGCTAACCGATATATATATGTATATATATATATATATATATATATATATATATATATATATATATATATATATATTATTAACTCAGTATAGTGAAAATACCATACCTACCAATGGGAAAATTTCCTTAGAATCTAAAATAAGATATAACTTTTTCCAAGTTCTAAATTATCAGAGAACCGATGAGAGCCATTATATGATAGATTATATAATAATCTAATTGTGAACACTAACGGGGGAAATTGCGGTCTCAAATTCTGAATTCCTGTTACGATGATCCCCTCGTAGCAATGCCTCTAGTTAAAATTTCCCTTGCCATGTTAGCTGACTATTTCGCCAGGTAGGAGCTGGCATGTAAAGGTTTCAGAGAAGTTACCTATTTAGTATGAAATGTTTTACATCGCCACTTATATATCTAAGTACTTATCGTTATTTATATGTGTAAATATATTTCATCCAATAATCACACCTTTCCTTTTCTTTAACATAATCATATGATATGTTAATTACAAAGAGCAGGAACAAGTCCATGCAATAATCTAATATACACTAATACTCTCTAATCACTGTATGGGGGAACATAATCGTCGAAAAATCACCTCACTTCACCGAAAAAAAACCGTAAAAACGCCATGTTTGTGAGACCATCTAAGCCAGTCTTCACGTGGACTACAGTGTGACATGAAATGTTATTGACGACTTTCGCAGTCTAGTATATATATA